CCTACACCATTCCCATTCAAGTGCCATTGACGCATATTCATGTGCACAAGTTATTTAAAAACTGCCATGTGTTTATTAAGTAATAATAAAAATATTTCCATATAAAACAATGTATCTTAATCCTGACATTCCCTACTTTTTAATTCAGCATTGTAATTAATATTATATAGATATTAATATCAATCATGTTTGTTTACTCTTTCATTGCTTAGAAGTTCATTGTGATACAGGTATATTTTAATAATGATGCTAATTACTATTTATAGGCATGCCTGAGGATATCTTTATACATAGAAGTACATGTCACAAAAGCTTTCTATTTTTGTAGCTAAACAAATCCAGACAGCCTTTGCCTTTACCAACAAAGCAATAAAAAAAATAAGAAAACAGAAGAAAGTTAGATAATCATTGAAGACTGTGCACACCTTGCACATCCTTCACATTTATCAAAGACCACAGAAAGGGATTTAGCCTAATCCTGTAGTTATATGTCACTTTCAATACAAGGATATTCCTTGGCACCTACGATATTTAAAAGGAAAAAAAATTAAGTTGCTGCACTTTTCCCGTATTCTTTGGTACAATTTTAAATGGATGTTATGAAAAATAGCCTAAAAGCAATGACTGAACACATATACCTCCCAAAGAAAATTGATGCTTAACAGTTGTAAGGTCTTTTGAAACAAGCAGTTTGCTATAGTGCCTTTAGGATATATAATTTTCAGAATTCAGTAATAACTGGAAATTATCCTTTATTAAACTATTTCCATTCTGCAGACAGTATGAAGCCTATGAGATTACCAGCTTGATCAAGGCAGAGTAATGTAGTTGGTCTATATAAGGCATTAGTAATTGAAAAACATTCCATAAAATCTGCAGAATGCAGCTGTAGACCAAAACAACATAGAAAGAGCAACTGGAGTTAAGATTTGGCCTGAAAATTCTTTCTGTAATTAAAATTTAATAGAACACAAATACCAAAAATTACAGTCTAAATCTGGCAAATAGAATACTGTTTTCTAATGCATAAAAGTTTTAATATCAAAATAATTTAGAGCAAAATTTAAGAACTGCAGAGATAAATTTTGCAGAACCATTTTGCATGGCGGGACTTGAGTAAGTCAAGTAAAATCAGACTGCAAAATATTACTTTTCCTTATCAGCTCTTACCTGAACCTCTTTTAGTTCATCTTCAATTTTTCTTTTTCTTTCTTCTATTTCTGCAGCCTCTTCTGCTATCCGATGTTTTATTTTTTCCATTTCTGTTTTTTGCTCACTAGCATTCTGTCAAAAAAAAAAGAATACCTTTAGTTTTCACATTTACACAGATTTTATTCTTTTAGGTCTCTCATTTCTTTTAGTATTTATTATAATACAATTTCAAAATACCAATTATAATTAAATATCTAGACAGGTTGGCTAGGTAACTAAATTATATGGAATAA